ATACTGCTTCCCAGCTGTGTACTGTCTGCAAACAAAAACATATGTTGCCATTCACCTACAGACAAAACAGGAGATTCTTGGGTACAAAGGAGGGATGAAAAGGAGGTTTAGAGATGTTTTGTGTTGTTCTGGATCTACCACCCACTCTCCTCCAACAGCATAGAGGTAACGCAGCAAACCACCCTCAGGAAAACCAGGCACACAGCAATTCCTTTCACAAAAAGAAAAGAAACTTCACAACAATCTTCTCCCTCCAGAAAAAAAGTAATATAAAGAACATATTTAATTGCAAAATCTGCCTAAAATATGTTGGATTTTTTCTTTACAGTGTTGGAAACCACAGTACTGTGGCATGCATGTACCAGAGCCCATCAAGCAGCAGTGGGGGAGTTGTAGAGCTGAGCCACTTGCAGAGGGGCCGGAGCCTCACTGCAACACAAGCTAACAGAGCATCACCAATTTAATTGACTGATGATTTAATAAAATGCCCTGGATATAGATTAACTCGCTGTGCTTAATGTAGCTCAGCTTCCTGGCAGCAGGAACTGGCACCACACTGTTCCTGGGCTGGGAGCTGGGCTGCCCAGGGGCTGCACCCACCACTCGCCTCACCCAAACCTTTCCCATTACCCTTCCCAAAATAATGAAGTGTAACACTAAAGTTCAGATACAGGCAAGCAGATACACACATAAAAAATAAGCTTAAACCTTATCTATGCTATATTAAGTCCCTAACTCAGCTTTGCCAGCCCTGTCTTACTCCAGAACCAAACACCCTTAGTCTCAACATTAAGTTTCTTCTTTTGGACCATTTCAATCTCATAATTGTCAAAAAAATAATCTCCTGGATTACATAATTCCTGCCCAAAGCCTAGGAAGATATGAAGCAATGCTGGGTTAACAAAAGCAGCGCTTTTCCCATGTAGGGGAAGGCAGAGATCCCTCTTAAATGTGTTTCCTTGCTCCATCCCTTCACCTATTAGTAGGTACAAAAACCAAACCTACAAAACTCTAATCACAGCAGCTATCTCTTTAGAGTTCATATGCCCAATTTCAAATAAAGAAAGATACTGTAAAAGTTGGAAAAACAGAGAGTAAAAAAGGATTATTAGCCAGCTCTAATTATACAAACTGATCTCATCCTCTTGTCATAAGCCTCTTTCCTGTTTCCGGAATCTATTTGTGCTGCAGAAAGACCAGCCTTTTGTAAATGTCCATGGATCATCAACACAGGGTGATTAATTTCCCATTTTACAGTACACACATACTGTCAAGCAATTCACTTGTAATCCGATATAACCCTGCGCTCACTTGCAAATTTTTTCCTCTAATATATTACTAAAGGCAAACAGTACTTAAGATACCGATTTGTAAAATCCAAACAACGTTTCAAAAGGAGGCATCATGCTTCTATAATAAAATAAAAATCACAGACCACATCTTCAGTTCAAGTAGCTACATCCTAATAAAGTTAAGACCTAACAGTCGACTTGAATTAAAGAGCAGCATGTACGCAAGAGCACACATATGTTTATACTCAAATTAAGTCCTCCAACAGGTTCTGGGGCAGCTGTTTCACGTATGCAAGAGACTTTTATCTCAGGCTCAATATTAACTTCCAGAAATCCTCAGCAGACATTCTAGCTGCCTCCTCAAATGAGCAGTTTTGGCAGTAAACTGTGGGGAAGCTCTCAGTGAGAACCAGCTCATGTTTGCAGGGATGATTCTTGACTTTGGGGTTTAACCAGGAACTTCATGAAAATCCCCAGGTACCAAACTGGGCAGCAGAAGCATCATGCAAGTTACTGGTTATCTTTCAAAACAGAGATGCATTATATGGGATGAGGTGAAGAATGGAGGGAGGCAAGAACAGGCTTTGGGGAGTATAAAAGGATAAACACAGTGGAGACCTGTCAACAGAAAGGAGATGCCTACAGCCTTACATATGCAATAGGAGTGAGCAAAGCCTCTAACTATTGATTCCCACACTTCTTACTACAGCACGTGTCCTAAAACCTTCTCCACTGCACTATCCTCTGACTCCCAAGGCTGTGCTGTTTGAGGAACTTTGCTGAGCAATGATGGTTTCAGTAAAAGAAACATCATCCCCAAGCCCTAGAGCTGAGCAGTAAGGCCCTGCTTCCTTCTGTGCTTCCCAAACCACAGCACTTGTACTGCATTCCCAAAAACACAGGCTTGCAGCAGAAAACTATCCAGGGTGCCCAAAACATCACACACTTTAAAGCAGACAAATATGACATATTTCCTAGCATTTACAAACCAGGTAGTTACCCAATGCCTATTTTAATAAAGCCATGCACCAACCTTACTTCTCCACAGCACAGAGTTCTAGCCACAGGTCGAGTTGGAAAAAAATAGCATCAATACCAAGATGCAAGACATGTTTCTGCTTGCATTTTGGTCTAGGAAGCTTCAGTGCCCAACATTTTAATGTGCTTTTCTTCTCTGAAGAATACATCAGACTCACTTTTCCCTTTAGGCTCCATTTTGCAAATGCTGCCACTGTGGCCCCAGGCACCAGAGACTTACTCAGGAAAAGCCTGGCTAACACTCCAGAAGAAGAACATTTCATCAGAAACTTCAGGTTTCCTACAGGAGTACCTGTGCTAACCTCACTCCCTGTGTCACAGCATGACCACATCTGACACTGCAGAATTACAAATTGTTTCTTCATAATTGCTCCTCTGCTTTCAACTCACAAAACTATGGGAAAATGTTCTTCTCTAAACATGTACTTTAGGCAGTGAGAGAACATACTCATTTTGCTGAAACATCTTTTCTGAGGCACAACAGGCTCAAAAAATGCTCCTCATTCACTCAGCAACTGCAATGATGGAGTCACTTAGTGTGGCATTCCCTGCAAGGAAAATGAAAGCTCTGCTCCCAGGACACTGCATTGCACTGGAAATACCCCACAGGAAGTAAAACCCCAAGCAACATAAAATATTACATCCCTAGCCCAGAAAAGAGAGAACACTCATTCAAGCCTCATTTGTAAATAAATTAAAGCATCAAATAATGAAAATCCTAGTAAGCACAGTTTGTACCCAGTTCCACTACCCCACCTTCTGCACCTGAGCCTTTCTGCAGCACGCTCATATGCAAAACCTCACATTTTGCAGACACTAAAAATTGTTTTTTAAAAGAAACAATGTGCCTTTACAAAGTGACCTTTCAGGCTGGTCCCGCAGGAAATGAATGGGTTAAGTGCCCACAGGACCCAGCCTCCCCAGTAAATCATTTATTACCCCAGCTCAGGGACAAGGAGCTCTGCAGAAGCGAGAGCCCACGCTGTGCAGCTGTTCCCAGCCAGGCAACTCTCCACAATTATGTTCTAACACAGGATTAAGCTCGGGGAGTGGAAATCCGTCCCTTCATTGCTGATGGCTTTTTTCTTTTTTTCAAGTTATGCAGCTATTTTAAATGTTACAGAGTTCATTAACATGAAGTTCATTAAGCAGTAACCACTTTATGAATGAAATGAAAAGATTGTCATTATAAGCACAATTATGGAAATACTAGACCAGCAGGTAGAAAAAGGAAAGGGCATGAGAATGCTGCTCCTGAACTCCAAATTAGCCTTCTTTTTTTCCCAGATCCTTCAGAGGAGGCACACCCAGAAATCAGATGTGAGGCAGAGGCTGGTTCCCAGGCAGGACTTCAGGTGAGAAGCTCTTGCTGCCTGTGCTGGGCCTCCCCAGAGATTTCACTGCTGTAGCTGAGTGTAAAAAGTCATCCCCCTTGGTCACCCCCAAAAAGGGTCTGGAATCTTCCTCAGCAGTGAGCACAGCTTGCTGCAACTCACCACGCTCCCCAAATTAGCAGAAAGTTAAGAAACACTATGACAAATCAAGCCACAAATTGCTTCTGTGCAGCTGGTGTCGTGCATTCCTCCTTTAAACATGATGAACTTGGAGGACAGCTCTCAGCAAGCCACTTATTCATTCCTGATAAAGCAGCTTCCATTCATAATTGTGCCAAGGACTTTATTTCTTTCTCAAGGTCTGAAAATAGGTATAATTCCACTGTTCAACCCCACTGAAAAAAGGAAAACCCAAATTATTACGATACATACTTGTCTCTCTACAAGTAACAACAGTTTATGATTAATCCACCCAGCTGCTGCCATAGCTCAATAACACCAAACGATTTGGACTCAGTCTTGTTAAAGCACTGCTCTTGTAGGCAAGACCATGGAAAACAGGAGGCACTGCAGAAGGTAAACAGGTTAGGGACAGTGGGAGGAGAAAAGAGACAGCTTGCTGTGGTTTTCCTCCCTCCCTTGACAGAGTTCACACATGGCAAGCACCCATTTCCAGGCAAGACTCTGGCAGTTTCTTTGCTTCAGGCTAACAGTTTTTGCACATTCAAGTCTTTTTGGAGAGAAAGGGTGTAACTCCATGAGTCAAACAGCTCCTGTCAGCATTGCAATAACCATACAGTCACGTTTAGGCCAGATCCATCCCATGATCTGGTTCACCACACCAAGGAGCTGGTGTTAGCTGCACAACAAACCCAGAAGCCTCAACAGCACGACTGCTCCGGGGCAGACAGACCGACAGCCGCTGTGCCGACCAGGAGGCACCTCAGCTCTGATCCTGGCCGGCTCCCGTGGAAATCCTGGGGCTGTAACTGTATGCCTGACTGCCCCAGGGACAGAAAAGCTCTATCTTAAAATATTAGGGGAAAACAGCTGATGTTTTAAGTGTTAAGTGCTATTTTATACCGTGGCATCTGGCTGATACAGGAGGCAATATCACACATCCCTTTTCTAACCCCACCACAAAGAGATTCTATTTTATGGCAAAATAACTTGTTGAATTTGTTTATATCATTGTAATTTCTCTGACATCAGCATCCCCTCTTCCTCTCAAGGCTAAGTTTGACAAATGGCTTGACAATGGGCAAACCCATTCTCCCAAACCCCTCATCTCAATCCTGGTGTATACCTAAAAGACTGCCAAAACACTTAACCTTACTTTAACTGCATGAAGCAGTACAGGTGGCTCCAAGACGTTCCTCAGGTTGTCCCCACAGCGAGCAGGGAGAAGTAGGGCAGGTCACAACACTCAGCTCCTAGAAAGGGGAAGAAGAAGAAAGAGTCACCAGGTGCAAGGGTCAGCATAGCTGAGAGCAGTCCCAACACCCACACTGGCACTGCCACACCTTCGCCAAGGGGGATGGAAACCATCCTCTCCCTTGTTAGCCATGTGGGAGGCATGTGTTGCTTCCTGCAGCAGTCCCATGTGGTTCCATGAGCACACACAGGACAATGGCCACATTATGGATAGGGCTATTTATAGACACACACGGGCATCTGGCACCACCTAAGAATAACTGTGCTGCTGAGTTGTATTTGCTGCTGTCCTGCTATTTGGTTTATCCCCAAAGCTGTTGATCTGCTGTCCATCACCGTATCCCAAACAACTAAGCTGGCCTTAAGTCCTTTGCTTCCATCAACACAGCCTCTCCCAGACAGACTCCATTATACCAAGGTGTTTTAACAGTAACAAAGGTAGATGATGGCAGATGGTGACCAGCAAATGAAGCCCAAATCTACCAGGATGTCTCTGCCAAACCCTTCGGGGTTGCTTGCAATTTTCCACAGGCTCATTCCCTGATCTGGGGCAAAATCTGCTCAGTAGATTCATCCATAGGGATGGTCTCCAAAGCATACCTAGAAAGAGCAGTTAAAGTGAATCAAATATCAAAAGGTGAAAAAGCCAAGGCTGGGCTATAGTTTATTAAATGCTGTGTGGGATATGTTATTAGCTAAGTCAAAGTTATCAGGGTATCTCAGACCATCATTTGGTTACCACACCAGGAAAGGTTGTGGCTGCACACAAACACCACCAAACACAAGGACAACACACCAATGGCCTCTTCTTGTTCTACCAGAGACACATTCTGTCCCTACACTCTCCCTGCTGGGAAAACATCCATAATCTAGGAATCTCACAGCCTGAGCCAACCTGCCAACCTCCAAGTGCAATTACAAGCACAGAAGTAACAATGGCAAAACTAGTTACCAGCTGGGAAATCAATTGTACTGTGTGAATTAGCTGGGGAAAGTACAGGACTTGAAGGTGAGGCACTGCACAACAAATCTCACTCCATCCACACAAGAACTACATCACCTGAATACCTCAATGTTGGTTTTACACAATGTTTTTTCTTAAGATTAACAGCTAAAAGTCTCTTTTATCCATTCTACTGAGAAACAGGGAGAGTATTTTGCAAGGCAATACAGGGTACTGTGCTTTATTACAAATATGTTCATTTAGATGTAGACCAAAGAGGAAAACCAGAAAAAATTTCATCCTCTTAAAGTATGAGGATTGTGCATGAATTCCTTCATTGCCATGTCACACATTTCTGAATTACATTCTTATGCCAAACTACTGGAGCTGAAAGTGGAATTACCTGAACTCTTAAATCCCAGTTAAGAGCGTACAAACACTCTTTGGATTCATTAACCAGTAAAAACCACCCTCGCAGTCACAAACAAGCAGACTGGAACTTTCCTCTGGCATTTGTGTAGTGTTATTTTCAGGACCTCAATTTAGAACATGGTTACTGTTTGATAAAGCAATGATTAACTATTTGCCATCCTGTGTTGATCTCCAAGGAACAGCTCTTTCCAAGGCACATACAACAACAATACAGTGGTTTCACTCGTTTCTGAGACACTGATAACTTGGCTTTTAAGAGTCTATTTGTATATTTTAGCAGAGAAAGCAGGGTTTGCTGCTATCCCTTTGAACCAACAAGGACTGTGGGTATGGCTGACATTGCCAGGGTAGACAGTGAGCATGCTGTGAATCACTGCAGGTTTTTCCTCATCTCCACTAAGGAATGAGGGTGTGTGTATGGAAAGCTCACTTGGATACTCAGGACCTGGAAAGTATTAGCAACCGGAGAAAATAAACTGCCCCAGCTATGAAAAACTAACATAGATCATAAAATTCTTCCTCACACTTTTTTGTCTGGTTTTATTCTGTGGGAGTTTTTATATTGCTACAAGAAGAAGAAAGTAACATTAAAGAGTCTTACGCATTTTAGTTCTGTATGTAAAGAGCCTGCACAGTCAGTAAGGTTGTCAACAAAGTATTAATTCCCCAAAGAACTGATTTATGTTTCCCATGAAATCGTTATAGGACAACTCCTGCATGCCTAAGCACACCCATTTCAGAAGGATTTCCCCATGGGGATTTCTTCTCCTCCTCCTCCTTTACTAGGAAATCATTACCAAGTGCAGACGAACACTGACATAGCTCCTACTTTCTGAATCTTAAAAAGATGGGCTTAAAATTTATGTTTCATGGGCGAGCTCATACTGCTTTACAAATGAAAAACTGCTCAGTATTATCACAAGAAAATGATGACATACAGTAGCTTTATAAAAAGCAATTTGGTTTCTACAAGGCTGTGTAAATATTCAAAACAACCTCTAACTCTGAATAATTTCTCCCCTAAAAGGGCTTACAGTCATGATATCCCACAGTGCTCACTAAAGTAAATGAAAATGTAAACAAGAGTCCTTTTGACACCCACCTTTACACATCCTATTTTGCTTGAGTTTAGTAAAAATAGGGGGGAAATCCCATCTCTTTTGTTAGGACACAGTTATTTGATACCAGACTGTTTATGGTCTTGCTCCCTCCCCATTGAGACAGCTAAAGCAGAAATTACCCAAGCCACTGATTAATTACTGAAACACTCTTTATGAAGAGAGAGGAAAAGAAAATTTAAGGACAGTGTTACAGCTACTTACAATTTTAAGAAGACAACATTAACTGACCCTGTGGATTATATATGCAATTGTTGTAAGAGATGAGTAATTTTAGCAAAAACGCTCAATAGCTTGAAGGTGATCTGCATCTGATACATCCTCAAAAGGCAGAGCAGAAAAGGTAGTCTTGTTATATTTGTAAATTAAATGAACGGCAGTGAATAACACAGACAAAACCGAAATTATTCTGTGTTGATAATCTTTTGAGAGGAATCAGCTGGGACTCTTAAACATGCTTGGTAGAGTCCCAACATGTGGACCTCAGGGTTTCCAGTTACTTTGCTGATTCCTCCCCACCAAACTCCCACCATTCTCAAACACTCCCCAGTGTCCAGCACAGAAGAAACCACTCCTCAAATTTGCTCTTTTTTTCCCTGCACCCAAACCTATTTTATTTTTCTGAGAAGCATTCCATGATTTGTTGTTCTGCCATCTGAGCACTTTGACTTGTTGAACAAGTTATCTCCCCATCTGGTTGTAATTGCCATTGCAAACCTTTCAACAAATTCAAAAAGCAGAACCAAGATGAGAAAATTAATGGTCTAGGAGATGGACAGCTGATTATTTGGGATTATCTGATACAGCTGGAACCTTTTCATAGACAAGACACCCAAGCACAGCCAGTCCCCAGCACCTAAACAAACCTCTGGGGTTTTTCCTGACTTTTGACCGTTGCCTGCTATAAAACCTCCTCACGATTTCGTATCAAATGCTGTCAAGGAAAACATTGTTTCTCCTCCTCATCTCCCAAATTGCTGGGCGTACAACTGTGTGCTGCTGCAATCTTTTGCTCTTAATACACAGCCTATACTGCATACCATGATATTCTCATTACGGAACATCCTTTTCCTGCTTCTGCCACATCTCCCAGGAGAGACTGGCTCACGAGAACTTTCCAGAAGTTTGGCTGTATTTCCTAATTCCTTAGGGAAGGGACTGTGGACACACTCCTTGGACAACCAGAGGATCACACCCAGCCAGCATGGGTTTAGGAAAGGCAGGTCCTGCTTGACTAACCTGATCTCCTCCTATGACAAGGCGACCCGTTTAGTAGATGAAGGAAAGGGTGCAATGTTGTCTGCCTAGACTTTAGGAAAGCCTTTGACACCTTGTTTCACAGCATTCTGCTGGATAAACTGGCTGCTCAGGGCTTGGATGGGTGTATGATTCTGCTGCTTACTGGGTTAAAAACTGTCTGGATGGCTGGGCCCAGCATGTGGCAGTGAAGGGAGGGAAATCCAGTTGGCAGCCAGGTCACAGCTGGTGCTCCACAGGGCTCAGTATCGGGCCCAGTCCTGTTTACCACCTTTAACAATTCTATGATCCTATATAAAGGGAGGAAAAAAACATTATTTGCCTAAAATCTGCATTGCTTCGGACAACTGCAAATACAGTGTGATCCTCTAGCCATTGCATCAAGCTACATTTGTACCATAAAGAGTGGAGGGCAGATTGCCCTACATTTTGACATACACAGAACATTCCATTGGAAGTAAATGATAGGTTTTGTTTAAAGAGCAGCATCTGACTTGGCATACTGGATGAAGAAAAGCCAAGAATTTTAAAACAACAGAAAGTAAAACATATCCATATTTCACATGTCTCTACACATTGCAGAGCAAGCAATAATATTAAGATGTTAACTGAATTAACATCAATCCTGATTACCAAGAGATGAGAGATAAATATTCCTTCATATACACTAAGTTAGCTTTTGAAACCCAAACTCTTTTGACAGTGTTGCCTTGAACTTGTAAACAGAAATAGTCCCATGGAGTAAAAGGAGCAAAAGGGAAGCAAGGAAGCAACAAACCAAGAGCACTTTTCTGCTCACTCTAGCCCTGGGCAGACAAAAATTTTCCCTCTAGAACCTGGGCGACCTGCACAAAACTGGAAGAAGTTTGAATTTTTGAAGAAGTTGTTTGAAGTTTTTTAATTCCATGAGCAATCACAACAAAGCATCAAAACAAAGAGACCTATGATGTTTTATGGCTCTCTACCTTGAATTTGGACAGCAGCCTGGGCTCATAGACACCTCTTGGACAATAACACACAAAAACCTGTTTCCCCAGGAGAAGGTGAGGTGACACAAGGACTCTGCAAGCAGTGAAAACCCCGACACCTCTAAGAGCATGGTCCTGCACAAGGGCTCTTCAAAGGTACACAAGGTCTCAGCCTTAAAAACTGAACAAAAGAAAAACTGGAAAAAATAATGCTTTTGTTACCCATTCATTTTTGCTAATAAAAGCAGGACTTGGTCCTGAAATTTGTTCTTCTTGAAACT